AAAAAAAAAAAAAAAAAAAAAAAAGAGCCAGGCCCAGCACATGGTTAGCATTTAAGAAAGTGTTCCCTTTGAACTTTCTAGAATAGAGGACCAAGAGCAAACTTTTGAGGTTGAACCCAACATTTGTGAAAATTAACTAGAGATGGATGGCTCCTTCATCATTTAGATCTGTAATGCCTACTGATTTACCAGCATCTGTACCTAAGAATGAACTGACTGGGACAGTCACTTTCTCTCTCTCTCTCTCTCTCTCTCTCTGTCTCTCTCTCTCTGTCTCTCTCTCTCTGGTAAATTTTCCAAGAATAGGGATTATAGACTGTGCATGGTGGCACGTGCCTATAATCCCAGCTGTTGGGAGGCTGTAAACAGGCGGATCACTACAAGTCCAATCTAGTAGTGAGACCCTGAATATCTGAATATCCTGTAGCCCTTTCCCTAAAATACAAAAAATAAAAATAAAAATAAAAATAAAAAAATAGGGATTATGCACTGTTCTGTGGGTCCTCTAATTTTGATTCTTCCACAGGACTTACTGAATATTACTGCCAAAAATGTATCTCATGGTGAAATTTGGGGGTAAATCTGGGTTCTACAATGTATAGCATATTTGTTTATGCTTAGGGTACTAGATGGTACCCTAATTTGCAAGAGGCATTAGGGTTCAAGATCCCCAAAAACTTATTTTCTGGTGCTCTTGTGGTTATCATCACTACTCTGAAGAATGCTGAAGAAAACTGTGGTTTTGGAGAAATCCAGCAGTGAGGTAATACCACAGCAGGCAGTCACTGTTCTGTGTTAGGAAAGAAAAGGTACGGGGTGAGAAAAGAGCTTTGGGTACCATGGGGCTTCCACAGCCAGTGCATTTGGAGAGCTAGCGTGTTGCTTGGTTGATTGGAAAAGTTGCTTTAAAAAAGGAACAACCCCTCAAAAAAAAGAAAAAGAAACAACCCCTCAAAAAGGAACAACCCATTCAAAGGACACGCTCAATCTTTTTTTTTTTTTTTTTTTTTTTTTGGTGGAACCGGGGACTGAACTCAGGCCCTTGCACTTGCCAGACAAGTGCTTATTCCACTGAGCCATCTCCCCAGCCCCTCCTCAGTCTTAATTTAAAAGATATACATATATATTCACTTGGGAATCTTTTAGTACAGGACAAGTACTTTTTAAGATTGAAGCTTATCATTTTACCTGCATAAACCTTTCTTATTTAAAAAAAAAATCTATAAATTCTGTATTTGCAGTGAATAAGAACATTGATGGGGCCGGGGAGATGGCTCAGTGGAATAATGCTTCCCTGGCAAGTGCAAGGGCTTGAGTTCAATCCTTGGTTCTGAAGAAAAAAAAAAAAAAAAAAAACTAAGTAGAACATTGACATTTGGGAACTAATCTAGCTATAGGATCTTCCTGGATTTTTATTGTATTCTCCAATCTCTTACTGTATCTCACCTGGTCCTAACTATTCAGCATTTTAAAGCAAATCTGAGTATTGAGTCTTACAAAAAGAAACTTATGAACAGGTCAGGTGTGGTGGTACACACCTATAATCCCAGCACTCGGGAGGCTGAGGCAGGAGGATCATTGGGAGTTTGAGGCCAGCCAGGCTACAAAGTGAGCTCAAGGCCAGCCTGAACTGCATAGTGAGACCCTGTCTCAAAAAGACAAGAAGGATAAGGAGGAAGAGGAAGAGGAGGAGGA